CCGGAGAGGCTGGCCTCAGTCGGCCGCGACATTCGGTCCGCGATACGATTCGGAGTAATCTCTGTCTACTGGACCCGACCACGATCAGTGTGGTGCCGGTTAGTGGCGAACGCATGCGCAACTTTCGATCGTCCGATCGAACGAACTATCGCTTAAATTTCCCGCGATCGATCAGGAACGCGTACGCGAGTCGATACGTCGTCGGTGAATTCGGACTGCGACTGAATCGCAAGATCGCGATCGGTGTTTCGAAAGAGTACCCCGCTGGCAAACGCGCTCGGATCCGCTTCGCTTTTCGTCGCGAGAGCAGATTCCGTGCACGATGGACGTGAAAGCGGACGCGGAGATCGACGGTGCGAAGAGTCGCGAGACGTGAACGGAATCGTTGCACGAGTGGAAGGATTACCGTTGTCGGCCGATTTTTTCCGGAATCGAGTGAACTGGAACGTAGCCAAAAGCATATCTGTCCGTGGCCGCGCGAAGTTACACGATCCGCGTCGATACTCTAGCTGGCTGCGGTAGCGATCACCACGTGGATCAACGGTGAACACCGTCACCGTTACGCTCGTTTCCCGAAGAAGACTAACAACCGCCTTCTGGCGATCGATCTTGCCAACCGGAGAGCTCCGTTCGTTCTTAAACCGATCATTAATGTCTCGATCGCGGTCGTCGGTGTGCAGAGCTGCGCGTCGATCGCGATGCATCCTTGAACGGACGGGATTCTGAGGGAAAAGAACGATCGAGGTCGAGTGGCTGGCTAGGATAATGTAAGGTGTATGAGAAGCGAGGTTTCTCGAACACGAAATGACGCTCGACAGGAGGTTGCTGTTGTCGTTGATCCTTCTGATGGCTTACGGCCTGTTCGTGGTCGAAGCTAGACATCGTCCGCGCGAGGACCTCGCGAGCGAAGCCAGGCACAGACACAGGCACAGGCACGAGTCCTCGAACGGCAGGAGAAATCGACATGACCTGGTCGACGGACGAGCCTCTTGGTCGCAGGAGCTCGAATACGAGGATGACTCGCTGGGAGAGGACGAGGAGGATGATTACGAGGCTGGCCCCTATTACGAGAGATCCTATCCTAGGACGTCGAGGATAATCGGACCGCACGGCCGGATGCTCGAATCGCGTTTCACGGCCAAGTATCGGCGAGGCGGTGGTTATCGCGGAACGGCCGGCTGGCACGACGAGGACGAGGAGAGGCGTAGAGCTTCTCCTCGACACCCGAGCAGAGGTTACAGACCAAGGTCCGATAGGACCCACCGCAGACTCGGCTATTCGAGAAGTCGCGAAGACGAGTACGAGGAGTACGAGGACGAGTTCGATTACGAGAAAGGTTCTCGCGGTTACGAGAACAACGGTCATCGAGCTTGGTGGAAAAACGGAAGGAAATACAGGATCTCGTCCAGGCACGACTGGCGTCCCGACGCTCGAAAGAGACACCGCGCCGATCTCGACGGATCCAGGAGGTTCGACAACAATTGGAGACGATCCAATTCCACCGACTACAGGTATTTCGTCAGAACGGACCGGAGGAAAGTGGACAGTCCCGAAGATTACGATTACCGCGTGGACGGTTACGAAGACACGGACAAGGAGGACGAAGAGGACGAGACCTGGAGGGAGGAAGACGAGGATCAGAACGAGGACGACGAAGAGTTCGACAACGATTTCTACAAGAGCGACAAGAATCCTCCTCTGAAAACTTACGACGACATCATCAGACGGTTGACGTCCAACGATCCGACCACGGTCAGAACCACCGTGAGGAGAGACTACAGGAACATCGAGCCGGAGAAACACGCGAAACGAGACGCCTCTGAAAATTTCAAGTACGAACCGAAGAACCTCAGCAGATCGCAGCTTCACGATCGCGAGCTTAAATTCGCGAGTTCCTCGTACGTCGGCTCCGATCGTCGCTCGATAAAGAAGGTTGTCGAAAATCCGTCGAGTAAATTGCTGAACTCGCTAGCCGATCATAAATTAACGAAGAACGTTAGCAACGTCGTCGATCGGCAAGAGAAGAAAATCGTTTCGAAAATGGACGACGGTCAGGCGAGGACCAAGAGTCTCGAGCAGGATTACGACGAGTATGTGAATGCGCCGGATAACGAGAAAGAGGAGGATCTCATCAAAGTTGGAGCGGAAGAGGACTCGGCTATGCAGGCGGACGTCACTAATACGGTGAGTCCTTTCGTTTACCTTTGAATACGTTATATTATCCTGATCGCGTATTGCCAACTATTTCGTAGATCTGAAATTTCGCGCGGTGAGCACAAAGCGTCGCGACCGAACGCATGACGTTGCAGCTCATGGAATTACAACGCCTGCCGATGCGGCGCGTGAAATTGCAACGTGTAGAGTTACAACGCCGTACAACGATTTGATTCAACGCGTAATTACAACATAAGCATCGTACTTTACTCGACGCGAATCACAATGTCGAAAATAATGATTTTCTGGGAAACCGACACCGCGAAAGCTTCCCTTTCGAAGTAAAGCGAAACGTAAAATTGCAAGATACGCAGTTTCCACGAAATATTCAGCCATCAAAGTACGAAAAGTCGCTGGAAAGTCTCGAGTGTTCGACGCGAACGCGAAGCACACTTGGTAGTTGAGATGGATGATAAACGATAGGGAGAAAAGGAATTCTTGTTCTCCGATAGCGGAACAGATTTACGATGTTCGGTATCCTTGGACGATTATGCGAATTAGATGTTTCTCGATCTGGTCGAGAATCGGCCTTGACCAACGCTCTTTCTCGTCTTTATTCGATCTCCTGGCGAAAATTCGAGGATCGATCTCTTGGCTCGGAAACAACCTCGAGAAATTCCTGGACCGAGTTCGCGAGAGAACGTTCGATGCCATCGACGGGGAACTGGAAGTCGTAAACCTCCTCGAGTTCCTCGCTATCGACCTTGTCGACCAAGATTAAGATCGTGGCGTCTCGATTTTACGGAGCACGCTCGCGTGCACTCGCTGCTACACGCGAGACAGAGAATCCTTATCGATGCTCCGTGTTGGACCCGAAGCTTTTATTTCGCGCCAACGACAATCGAACTTTTCTACGAAAATCCTATCTCTTTCTCGGACTGTCTTTCTAATCTAATGTCTCTGCTACTAAACAATCCGTACAGCCGATTGAATTATGGTAATCTGTTCTCGAAGGGGTAGTTATCGATGAAGGATGCGTTACTCTTGTATCGTGACGCAAACTGTGAAAAGATTTCTTTCTCTCCGAAATACGAAAACCACGGTTCTTCCGCATCGATTGGTCGATCGACTTTCACCGAACGCATCGATGCAAAAAGACAGCGAGGAATCGTCTTGAAATATCTGTCGGTCGCTCGTCCTTGGCAAATAGAGTTCTCGACCGCGCGTCTGGCGTCTGTTCGGCCTAATCGATGACGTTCTCTCTCGACCCTTGCCGCCGCGTTTCGATCATTCCGGTTCCGAGAACTATTTTGAATTCGTTGCACTTTCGTCTGTGGCCGGTCGGTTATTATTGCCACCGCGCTGTTCCTCTTATGGGGGCCAAGATTAGATCGACCTTGGCAATGCAGCCGCGTCGACCAGCCGCAAACCGCTTTTATCCGCGTCAAAATCCTCCACGGCGAGCAGGTACGAGCTCGGAAATACCGCGGCTGTCGGGCGCCGCTTCTTTATTACCAAGACGCTGGCGCGAAATCGATACCGCGAGAGGGTGGTCGACCATACACCGCGGTTGTTCCTCTTTCATTCGACTGGAGTCGTTTGAATGATCGATGCCGAGGTCGATGCTTCCTCGCCGTTACCTGCAGTTCGACAACAAATTTACCGGAGAATCCTTCTTTTCCCTTTTTGTCTGCAGCGTTCGAAAATATACCTGACACCGAAGGCCCAGACTCTCCCTAAGCTCTTCCGCGACACTTCTCTAGACATTGAGACGTTACCTTCGTCCGACAATTCGATTTATTTCCATGCGACGAAAAATTTTCAATAAAGTCAAAGTCACGAACGAATAGTAAATTTTTCCTCTCGGGTGTTTCTTACGAAAGAACAGGGTGGTCAACGGTACACCATCGTGTATACGGTTGGACGGGGCATCCGGAGGAATACATATAGCCTCTTGATGCACCTCGTGCCACGGACCTCCGAGGATTCTCTGCAAAAGAAATAGATAATAATTTGCATACAAGACTCGTCCAACCATTACGTGTCAGTGCAAATTTGAAAGTAAGATCCCGGACAAATTTGCCGTCACCGTTGCCACGATGCAAACGGTCTCTTCAATGGGTCGTCTGATCGATTATCGTCGTTCGTGACTAGGGAACTCGGTACGCTCGAGTTCGAGGAAGCTAAAATGGGAAGAGATCGAAGCCGATTCCGCGAAAGGGAACTCGAGAGGAAAATAGAAATTTCGTGCGGCGCGTAAAAGGGGCGTTGATTAATGACCGCAAATTTCGGAGATGAGCAAACCCGGTGCAGCATATTCGACCGAATCGAAAAACGACCGGCTACCGGGCACACGACTAAAAAGTCCACCGTCTGCCTGGATCTAGATAGCCGGGAACACCGCAGCCATCGCCAGATGCATTAATCGGAGTCACACAGCTGTTGCCGGTCGTGAAATAACAGTGGCTGTGATTCTAAGCGGTCGCCACGTGTTGCTACAAATCGTTAAGTCGTTTTTATTTCTTTGCCCGTTCGATTTCTTTGGGGGGAGTAACGCGTATTAGTAATCCCAATGAGAAATGCAAAGTCGACGAAAAAAGAAGGTATGGAAAGGAAGTTTTTAATCCTCGAAAGATGGTGGCTGTGATTCATTCATGGTCCGCATACGAGGATCATGCTTTTAGCTTTCAAAAATCTGTATACGATTGTGTGGTGAAGTTCAAAAGTTACGTTCAATATTTTACCATGATTAAACTCTTTTCCGAGCGAGTTAAACGCATGTTCTCCGGTTAAAAGATACACACCGCGTTCATCGCTACGTAGCGCGGAGATAAGAGGGTGGTCGACCATACACCGCGGTTGTTCCTCTTTCATTCGACTGGAGTCGTTTGAATGATCGATGCCGAGGTCGATGCTTCCTCGCCGTTACCTGCAGTTCGACAACAAATTTACCGGAGAATCCTTCTTTTCCCTTTTTGTCTGCAGCGTTCGAAAATATACCTGACACCGAAGGCCCAGACTCTCCCTAAGCTCTTCCGCGACACTTCTCTAGACATTGAGACGTTACCTTCGTCCGACAATTCGATTTATTTCCATGCGACGAAAAATTTTCAATAAAGTCAAAGTCACGAACGAATAGTAAATTTTTCCTCTCGGGTGTTTCTTACGAAAGAACAGGGTGGTCAACGGTACACCATCGTGTATACGGTTGGACGGGGCATCCGGAGGAATACATATAGCCTCTTGATGCACCTCGTGCCACGGACCTCCGAGGATTCTCTGCAAAAGAAATAGATAATAATTTGCATACAAGACTCGTCCAACCATTACGTGTCAGTGCAAATTTGAAAGTAAGATCCCGGACAAATTTGCCGTCACCGTTGCCACGATGCAAACGGTCTCTTCAATGGGTCGTCTGATCGATTATCGTCGTTCGTGACTAGGGAACTCGGTACGCTCGAGTTCGAGGAAGCTAAAATGGGAAGAGATCGAAGCCGATTCCGCGAAAGGGAACTCGAGAGGAAAATAGAAATTTCGTGCGGCGCGTAAAAGGGGCGTTGATTAATGACCGCAAATTTCGGAGATGAGCAAACCCGGTGCAGCATATTCGACCGAATCGAAAAACGACCGGCTACCGGGCACACGACTAAAAAGTCCACCGTCTGCCTGGATCTAGATAGCCGGGAACACCGCAGCCATCGCCAGATGCATTAATCGGAGTCACACAGCTGTTGCCGGTCGTGAAATAACAGTGGCTGTGATTCTAAGCGGTCGCCACGTGTTGCTACAAATCGTTAAGTCGTTTTTATTTCTTTGCCCGTTCGATTTCTTTGGGGGGAGTAACGCGTATTAGTAATCCCAATGAGAAATGCAAAGTCGACGAAAAAAGAAGGTATGGAAAGGAAGTTTTTAATCCTCGAAAGATGGTGGCTGTGATTCATTCATGGTCCGCATACGAGGATCATGCTTTTAGCTTTCAAAAATCTGTATACGATTGTGTGGTGAAGTTCAAAAGTTACGTTCAATATTTTACCATGATTAAACTCTTTTCCGAGCGAGTTAAACGCATGTTCTCCGGTTAAAAGATACACACCGCGTTCATCGCTACGTAGCGCGGAGATAAACGAACGTCTCGCTCCAAAGTGAATCCGAGATGACCCGATGTTCGTTATCCGAGGGTTAAACGCGCATTCATCAACGAAAGCAAAAGACGGTGAAAGCGAGCGAAAGAATGCCAAGAGAGGCTTCTGTGGTAGCTTCGATTAAAGGGCTCCGTTTTAAAAGAAAAATCGAAACTATTCCAGTCGAAAGCATGCCTCGTGTTCGACCACTGATTCACCGCCAGAGAAACACCTTAATCCCGCGGTAGTCGGTTTCTCCCTGTTCCGAGTAAAAGAAATCGAGCCGGCTGTCGTCGTGATCGTGGTTCAACCTTTTTGCGCCAATTTACAAAGGTAAGCCCGCCACGTTCCATCGGCGATTTACCTCTACACGACGACTCAAGTGGAATTACTGCATCGGGTAATTGAGCAATTCTACGAGTACTTGTTCTTCGTGCTTTCTACGCCGATTCTTCCGGCGATCGATCGGGAAAGACTCGAAGGGGTCACGCTACTTCGACATCGTCCGATCCTCTTTATTCCAATATCGTCGTGCCAGCATTTTTATGCTCTGGAAAAGAGTCGAACCTTCTTTTTCTAAATAATTATGAAAAAATTCTGAAATTTTACGAATGACTCAGAGCGACGTACCCCATTTACATCATCTCGGTTGACTCGAAAGAAACGAAAAAGGATGTTCACCTAAACGAACATGCTCATTTTTTACCTCGTTTTCTTCTGTAATCCGTTCGGGTCGTTGCGAGAGCGTTTCGCCGAAACAGACCCCCGTGGCGGGCATTAAGAAATGACTTTGCCACCTGACCACGCAACCAACACTCATAAATTGACCATAAAAGCTTACCGCGGAAGCTCGTTTGTCCACGCAATAAAATTCCTTATCGTTGTCGCGAAACTCAACCGTGGAGAAAG